ACCCTCGTTCCCAGGCCCGTTTGTCTAATGTAGCATACGCGGGGAAATAGTGATAGAGCTTGACTTCATTTCTCAGACGCCTTGCAACACTGTACCTGTAGCCTACCATTCTGTGTCGCTCTTGGTAGTTAGTCCAACAGGCATGGTAGCTAAGCATGTCCAAGTTTGACATGGTTGTCTCTCAGTATGAAACCATTAATCTCACCATGACCAGATCAACCACTTAGGACAGTCGGTGAAGCGCTCGGGCCAGTGGTGATAGCGACATAGAGAGATGATTAAATAGCATTGTAGTATCATGAAAAATGGCCTATCTCGTTGCGCTCCGCCAGTTAAGATTCTATGCGCTGGTTCTGTAGGTGGACGCAACAAAGCGCAACGAAGCGCAACACCACTACTGATAGTATGCCTCGTAGTTCGTGGCGTTACACCAGATAAAGAAAAAAAACTTCTGTGGGGGGGGGGTTTATATCTGAACGCACTCATAAGGTCAAATACAAAGGAACTACGACGCCTCGAGCTCGCTTCTAAAAGCGACACTCCGGATTGAGCCACTGCAACCTCGGAAGACACTCTCACCCTTAGCGACTATGTGGTTTACCGGCATAAGACACTCAATAGGGTCCTGACCAGGATCTCATCTATTTCATCGTTGATCAGTCTATCTATCACATTAAGTATTCCATTATATGAGAATGGAGGAATATCGGCTCGACTTCATGAGATTGCTTGAGTTTCGACTCTCATGTCTCACATCATGTGTGGAATGGTGAGCTGAGCCCATGTGAAGAGACATCTTTGCAAATCATTGTTGAAAAGCTAGTAGGCTCGTTCAGAGTGCTTTCCCGTCAACATCTTTTGGTATAACCATCCCTTTTTCGCTCGCTCACATAGTTTTACTGTCCGCAGATATTTGGGTTTTGGGATCATGAGGGGTCTCATAACTCAATATGCTTGTAAATGAGAGCCTACCGATGCTAAATATTCTAACCAGTAGTAGCTAAATGACCGTTAGAGTCGGGGGCGGATGTACCCCAGTCAGAACTAAATCATCTAAACTATTTACGGATAATTCAGACAAGTAGGTCAATACTACATAGGTTGGCATATGCAAGATCGCTTTAATGACATGCGATTGCACAAGTATTCAATTAATATTCATGATTGGTGCTGGGTGAAGTCGACGACGTCGTGAATCGCCAAGTTTTTATATATCTAAAGCGATGCATTATTAGGTGAACCCCGATATGGCGATGCGCTTTGCGTATAATGAGTCAGACGCCAACATGTGCTCCGAAGTCAATCTCAGTCTGCTCCGAGGCGCACCGAGCCACGGAAAGAGAAACCTCTCCGAGGCATGTGCCGGGCGGGATCACGGCGTTCGAATGAAGGACGTGACATCGAAGATACAGATGTATGACGGCCGCGTTTGCTCTTGAAGAAGCTTAGCATGTTTCACCTCTCGTCTATGTAGTCCTACCAGCGCCTACGAATCACGGCTTCTCCAAGGTAGCTGTACAAGTAGGCTATCGTTTGATGGTAAGTTTGTTGCTTGACTGACTGCCTTACTTGCGCTTACATGGTTCAAAATTGCGAGCGACTGTACACTAATAGCGCTAAGTAAACAATGACCTTAATTCAGGACCACAAACATGCAAGATTCGGAGGAAGAGAGAACCGGTGTGGCAAAATCTTGTGACGGCGCACATGAAGCGTGCCATCCGCTTCCTCCGGGTTATTTGTTGTTGTTTTTTGCGTCTTCGTAAGCCCTTTGCGAGTTGGTGTCCAACGTTCACGGGTTGTCCTGGTCTGGGCGGGTCTCTTCATTTCCCGAACCAGCCACGCTGGGCGACAATTCGTCAGCGCGTCTTTGGTCATCCAACCGTCGCATTCCTGCACAGATATGCCCAATTGTTTGTCTATTTCGAGGCACAGAAAATTTTCATTTCAGATCCCTTGAGGACCCTGCGGCTTTGCGACCTGCCTCGGAGGATCGTCTGACAGTTAGGACAATCATTATTACAGGGGCGAGTAAAGGGGAACAACCACAATTTAGGGTACAACAAGAGTCAGACTAATAACATTAATATAGCTGACCCCGGCGTCCTATTGGTCATGACCCCTGTTTCGGCGTGCCAAATTTACCTAGTTAGGCACGTTAGGTAGCAAACGCCAGCCCAATTTAGTAGGTTCGGATTGAGTTTTGAAGGCCCGGAGCCTTCAACACTGACTTAAAACCAGCCGAAATGGCTGTTAAAACTGTCCCAATGCTAGCTCATTGGCGAACCTGCTCTACAATATTCCGCTCGACATGCCGCACTCATCATCAGGTATGGCCCGGCCGTCCATCGTGGACTTCGAGACGGCTGCGCTCTCGGTCATCCACCTCATGCGAGGTGTGGCTGAGCTGGCCAACGTCCGACTTGCCCTCGTGGGTGATCTGGCTGTTATGAAGTATCTATCACAAGGCGGACCTTGCGAAGTAAGTGGAAAGATACGCCCATTTCAATAGGACGTAAAGTGCTAATTGAGCGCCTTAGAGTATCGAGTTCGTCATCAACAAGGCGTCACCAGGTTCCGTGAAGAAGATACTTCTCTCTCATCCTCACGGAAAGAAAACTATCGTCGAGAAAGGTCAGGCCATCTTCTACAGGCATCCGGCTGGCTGGGCAGTTGAATTGAAGATTACGCCTGAGTGGCTTTGCCCTTACTTTCCCGGCTCAGCTCAGCTAGTCAAAAACGTCGAAAAGCTGCCATATATATCCCTTCCAGATCTTGTCGTCTTCAAGGCTGACGCCTGTGGTCTTCACGAATCGGACGGGAGCAAGTACAGGGAAGCGGCGGACGCCTGTGCGCTTCTAGAGCTCGCATCGGAGCACTTTCCTCTGAAGCTCGAAGACGAGAAGTTACAGAAAGTGGAAGAGGCCCTCGAGACCCTCCTCGAGTATTCACCAGCTGGGAAAGATAGGAGGTGGTGGGAGAGAAGGTTAGGCAAACAAGGCGATAAGCGACGCTCGGCCCAGGATATCCTCTCGGAGCTTGGCGAAGGACTACGCCTCGAGGAAGAAAGGCCGCGAGCAATGAGACGGTCCAGCATTTTCTCCCTCAATAACACTCGGGGCTCCGATACGTCCATCGGTTCTACTTCTTCCGCATCGTCGCAGAACACGACCCCGCTGTCGTCGCCACTACCCAAGACGCGACCGAGAAAGATGAGCGTGAGCGGATCGTATCCGCGACCGCGCAGACACACACAGACAACTGCAGACGAACCTCCATTATCTCCACTTGAGAAGAATCATCAAGAGATACACCGGCTGTATGCCGCGTCGATAGATATGCATGGGCGAAGCTCACCAGGGATATCCTTAATAAGACTGCCGGGAATGGGGAGATGAGAGCGGGATCCGTGGTTCCGGTTGATGAGGTCTAGAGAAAAGTTCATTTGCGTTGCGTATACCCCTATAGATCATTGCTTTAGATATTGAGCAAGTTAGATTAATAAACGATCAGTCCCTTACCACAGTGCAGGGTCGTCGGCATTGGGAGCATGGCCACACTCCGCCCAAGTACTGAAGTGAGGCGAAGCAGGTCTAAGTGAATTGAGCTGTAAAGGTACTCTAACTTTGGGAACGGATTCAGTAGAGCGGAAAGTTAACTACTGGTTATTTGCATGGTCCGCAACTTATATATAGCTTTGGCATCCGCTGGGCGGTTTCTAGAATATCCACGAGGCGATTAGGAGAGGTCGCCTTCTCCTGAAGGGCTTCTTACGAACTTCACTTATCTACTTACAGAACCTCAGGTTCTCCTACATAAGTCCAAGAAATTCTAGGCTAGCTGGGATTAACGAATATCCTCTACCGTCCGAGATGGCACAGGTAGTTAGTCATCTGCTGCGTAGAGCCTAGTAGCCAATACAAGGCTCTCTAAATGCAGCTTACAGTGCTACTATCTATAAGTAGTTACTCAAAACCCTTGCAGCTCAACTGTAACGGCACGAAGAAAGAAACTACTGCAGAAATCCGACTGGAACTTGCATAATCCTCTGCGCGAAACTCGGAACAGGGTAAATGTGCTACAAACTACACGCTTAGAGCTACTGCTTCGACTGCAAGGCTTCCTATACATCATTGACATAAGGCCCACGAGATTTTCCTCTGCTTCCCTCTGCAATAAACCCTATTTGGGAGGGTTCAAAAGCTCATGACCTCCTCGGAAATGGTCGTTCTCCTACACCAAAACGACGCCGTTAGTGCGCGACGGCGCTCAATGACTTGTAACTATTTGGCTGATTACACCCACTCTAGTGTGACATCTTTCCCTAGAATAGATAGCTGCGATCACATCACCAGAGGCTGAGTACGGTGATTGTGCGATCACTATCAATCTGCGATTGAACTGAAAACTTGAGCTCGCTATCCTCGTACCAGACTCTACTGCCATAATTTGATCGCCTCCATTTTATATAAAAACATCGGTTGTCATTCCCGACCTTCATGTTGCTAAGGGATTAACCTCTAGCTTACTTTCCGAAACCGAACAAACTCTACATGCCTACGTCCCGGACAGTCTTCGATATCAGCAGTAAAGTTTCTCGTTCCTATGCTGTATCATTGTAACCTTCTTTATCCATACCATCGATCCACTCACTACTATCGTGTCTCTAATATTATCTGGGGTGTACTGTTACCTAATTGCGTCTCGCTTTTTGAACTTTGATGTATCTAACTCGCTATATTACTAGCTAATCATCAGATGCTTATTACGCCTAACTCACTGGATGTCTTGCAGGCACCCCGTAGATACTGCATATTGACGCACGTACGTGCTTCAGATGGCTGTCTCTACTCCAGTGCACCGCACTCGACACCGGGAAACCGCACTGGACTCCGTACATTCCCCCCCCTTGAGTCTATCCACCGTTCACCTATTCGGCCACGGTAGCACAGGATTTCCAGGGCGTATATGTACATACCTAGCTTCACAAAGCTCACGATGCCCATTTAGAGCAGTGGTTAGCTCGCTCGCCTCCGGGGCGCACAGGCTGAACAGCGGGAAGGCAAGGGTTCGAATCCCCTAATGGGTGGTAGCTTCTTTTTGCCTTCTATGAATTACATTGTATATTGTCTGTGTTATCTCTCAGTTGGCCCCCTTTAGTTTATTGGCTTTCAGGCACAGTCATTACCCTACCTGTTGTATCCCTCATGTTATTAGATCAACTACAATGCATGTCGGAACTCACACTCCTATATCAGATTGTTGTTTTACAAGTCTTATGAAATCCGTTATGAAATGACGAAAGAATATTTTGGTTCCTGACTGCATAGACTGTTACTATTATCATAATGATTTGACAGCACTGCTGTACATCAGATAAGTCAAGTCTGTATACTCAGGTCTTTGCGTAATATCCTTGCATGTTAACTCACCTATTCGATGATAGGAGGCTGGCGATAGCTTTGCCCCACTACATTAAGTAGCCACGATCCTTTGGGCTTATTTCAACGTTATAGACGCGCGCTTAGTAACATGTTAATAAATGCAACCCCGTGTTATACAGTAGGTCCGCCAAGCAGCGTATATCCCGGTATCCAGCAACCTTAAATGATATAGTTATATACCAGGCATCAATAACTACTACCCTTGTTGAGACGACTTATAAAACTTATGATATGACAATAGCGTGCTTTTTTCCCCCGCAACTAACCCCCCAGCAGCTGTCGGCATTACAACAAGCTACCTAAGATCGTTATTGGTGAATATAGCATGCACTAAGGTACTATTGGGCGGGACGTTCCGCCAACGTGGCTGGTTGCGTTAGCTCGAGCAACTAAGATTAACGCACTCTGATTCTCTGGTCTGTAAAATCAAAATGACAGCTTCATGATATCTCTGGGAAGCTGCCTGCGCTCACACCACGTTAATAACATTTTCAGGTCCGGGCTGTTCGAGTAAAACAAGCACTTTATATATATTTCTAAGAGAGGGTAACCGTCATTAAGTACTGGAGCTCTCGCGCAACAATCATGGTGCACATAGGCCGTTATATATGTCCCGCAGTCAGATAGAAGCTACATCCTACCAAGTGTTCCGAGCAAGCCGCGACCAGACGCAATCCGATTGTTGCCTATGTTGGAAGCCCCGTGACTAAACACAGGCTCATTGGGTTTATATTGTAGATTAATGACCGGGACTTCGTATGTAATGACTAAGGTGAATCACAAGACTATGATCAAACCTCTAGATGGCCGCGTCGTAGTATTTATCTAACGACACAATTAATCGTTAAAATTTCGTCAATGAGTGATCTTCGGTACTTTATTCCTTACACGAGATTCGGAGATTTACCCTGAAGTGGTCTAGATGCCGTTGTGTAACCTCAGATTCAGCCGATGAAACTCAGAGGTGCCCCGGTGACTGATCCCAATTACGTGATATTTTGAGTGGGCGGAGGGAGGCTGAACTAGTAGCCTTACCGTTGCGCGGGGGAGCATCAGTGGCTTGATGGAAGTTCGTATTATGCTATAGACTGGGGGGCATTAGTATATAGTGCGGCCGTTTTCGTGGGATATTGTCAAGCAGTCTGGATAGGTGCACGAGCGACCTTAGGGATAAATACATTTGCATATGCATGCGCGATGACGAACGCAGTATGTCATATGTCTTAGATGTTAGTCACAGAGATGGTGTTGCGAGGAGTGTGGCTGCAGCACAGACCGAACGTAGCATGCGCGTGGAAGAACGCATCCCATTCTCCGTTTCATACTAGAGCTTGACCAATGACTAAGATGATCACGTGGGCAAACAGACATACTCATAGCAAGACTTTTGCTCCGGTATCATATTGATATAACTGTAGTGTATGTAATTCAATTTAGCCGGTAGATAGCTCCTTGTTTTGATTCGACGGCTTGTAAGGCTGAAAGGAGGCGCTAGAAAGGGGGTTGCTGACATAAGGGCAAACAGGGGCGGCAGACAACGTCAAGCATGGTATAAAGTGATACCATCAGACGGCTAACAGAGCCGGCGATGTCATAATGCGGATAAAATCGTAATGACAAATGCTACTAAATAGCGATCACATTCAGGTTCTGTAAGGGGCTGTGTTTGATCCAAGAATATTTCCATTAAGAAGCTATCCATAGACCAAGATTTTCTAAGTTAACTATGCATCCTGGCTCCATGCGTCCCAAGGTCCTGGGTCGAAGTAAAACCTCGACCAATATCCCAAGTCAGCACCACCAGGAAAATCCAACCCCTTATTACTCCTTCACTCCATCCCAAACACGATATAAACCCTCGTCATTATATACCATGATGCCCGAATATCACAGGTGGAGCAGTAGCGGGCTCCGGGGCTGTTGAGTGGATATCAAGCATTTACTGCTCACCGAGACCGGCAGGGGTCTCGCAGAGAACGGCCTGGCCAAGCTGTTGTGGATGTCATGTCAGCACAATGGGTTTATTGGGCGTATCTCAAGGCGGACTTACGACGGGGATGACGCAGCAGCGGGCGCGCTGGCCACTGGCAGCGCAGATGTTCCTGAAAGTGGCGGCGCTAGTGGGAACAGCGGAAGCTAGAACCGTCAAATTAGCCCACAAGTTTCACTGGTTGGGTTTCGACTGCTGGCCGGCGCATAGAGAGTGATGATAGAGCTGGGTAGAGGCTACTCACGAGAGTGGCAGTTGAGGTCAGCAACGCCGAGGACATCAGTAGCACAGCACTGGGGAACGCTGTAGAGACCATCGGGGCAAGGCACGTAGGGTGCATTGTCCCCGGTGGGAACGGCAGAGACGGCGGTGGCGATGAAGCCGAGGACAGCGACGATGGAGTACTGCATTTTGAGAGTGGAAGTTGTTTGTTTTAGAAACAAAAAAGCGATTGAAGATTATTGAGTGAGAGTAGAGATTGGAGGTTTCCTGAGATTGCTGCTTGGGATGATGAGCAAGAAAAGAAGTGTCAGTTGAGGGTGATGTTGGCCTCCTTATATAGACGTTTAGCAGTCGATATTTTGCTGGATATCTTGGCCGCAATCCGTTTTCCTGAATGAGGATCGCCGCTACACCTGTACGTACCGATTGCTTTCTCGAGACGGCGACCTTGATTTACTGCTGCATCTGCCTTGGCCATACCTCGGTGGCTTACTGGGTGGCTGGCTTTGTGCAGCTGTGTAGGCTGCATCCTCTAGTGCACAACATGTCGTGGTGAAGTATAGACATCACGATGGGCATCCCAGTAGTCACTAGTTGGGTAAAGGCCTTGGACAGCCGCCGGCCAGAAGCTGCACGAGGCAAACCTGTGAGGATCTCTGGTCCCAGCGACTACTGAGTGTACGTGTTCCCGCGCAGCACGCTTGGGAGTGACACTACGGGTAGGGTAAGTCAGGTTCCGGCTGTCGAATCTTGCCCACAACCGCTCCCAAATCCTTGGGTTCATGATGTACCATATCTCGATGGTTTTGCTTGAGAGGCCGAAGATCGATCTCGGTTGTATCCTTCACTTCTAATTTGCAATAATCCTACCCACCATCTCCACTGTCTTAAATCCCCGTCCTTGTTCTTCCCGGGGGTGTCCCACTATAGCAGTCAGCGGAAACAGCAATTTTCAAAGTGACGATGTGGATTCGCTGTTGCTTCTGTATCTTGGCATATCCGGGGGGTATCTGCTTTGGGACGATTGAGACGAGTTGTGATTGGTAAGGGCGATTTGAATATGCCAAACTAGATCGGTGCAGAGGACCCAACGGCTACTAGTTCCTGTGCACGCAACATACGTAGTAGCATACAGCCGTAATGTTCATGTATACCACTCTCAATAGAGTACCGTTTTGCGTGGCGGAAGCGAAATATGCTTAACCTGTTGCATGTGTGCAGTACACTGCGCTATTGTAATTATAACATACCCTTTCTCCAATTAATCTTTGACAACTCAAGCAATAGAAATTTTTGTACAATACAGGGTAAATTGCCAACTGGTATGGTAGCTATTACCAATGCAACTCGGTAATACGTAGAATGTGCAAATCAGACCATTTCAGTCAGGCCATCCCAGTTAGTCATCCTTTCTTCTCTGCTTTTTGGTATCACGTACGGTAGACGCCTGGCGAAAGAAAATGAATTACGTATTCTAAACGTAGTCGCCCTAGGAAGAGGAGCCGGTGCTTCTGGCGTGCGTCTCGTAACTAATCGCAACATGGGAATAGTGTCGACAGCCACTTTGGCTCCCTGCCTTGTTTTGAGAGCCAAAATGGTCTGCGTTGGAGAAGAGAGGATTTCGTCTTCAGCAATGTGGCGGGTCTCTTGGCACAAGTCTCCAGCATTAGTGTGCCCCAGCCCTCATTTCTGATTGAAGCGGCTGTTGCTCCCAAGCTTGCTGCTTTCTTGTTTTTGTTTTCGGAGACTCGGGCGCCTGCAGACGTTGAGTTGTCTCGCAGCGGCCTAGGGCTATACTACGCTCGATGGAGGTAACGACTTGACGGTGCGCACGCACAATACCCCTGCATGGAAGAGGCGCTCCCCTCCCAGGATCATGATCCGGGCCACGGTGATCTTCCCTATGAAGAACAGCCGGAATTTACTAGCAGACCGGGATGAGAACGGGACTCGGAACAGCGCATCCCACACTAGGTGGCGGGATCCATTATGGCCATTCCCGAGGCAGCGGTCAGGATATTGTGTTTATACCTATAGCACGCAGAACAACAACCCGATTTGTTTTGATCGGCAACGTGGACCGATATTCTAATGGCGAACTTACGAATCCGATCCACATCGTGAAGCCGCCGGTAAAGTGATATGTACTTGTATGAGAAGAGATCAGTAACCCAGCGCCCGGTCCTTTGGTGGAAATTCTCCTACCTTCACCACCCTCGGTGTCTTGCATCTGCACTACACACACATACCGGCAATTTTCAAGCTCGGCGTCGTCGTGGATTACTTGGCTTTGCCGCATAAGTACTCAATGTTACCGCGTACCTGTCGAAGAGGCGTGGCGATCATCTCCAGATCCGTACTTTAGTGTCCCGACCAGGGGTTAAGCGACCATGCAACGCTGGATTTGGCCGATAGTCAGTTGGTATTATGACG